GAACACTTGGCCCGAAAGGGACGACTAATCAATATCGGCGCCACTTCTGGCTACACAACCGTCGGTTACGCTCCCATCAAAATAGACGACTTTATTGTTAAAGTAATGATTAATACAAGTTTATAATGCAATTTGAAATAACGTTTATACTGTATGTTCGGACAGCTTCACTACGGGGCCAAAACAGTGATCGGCTTTTTAACATTTGACTACAAAGACAAATATGAAGAATACGCGCAACAATTGTCTCAATATTACGAGAATAATAAACTTGAGATTAAAGTAGATTTCGGGGTTAATGTTGGAGAAGGTCTCGAAGCCGTGTCCAAAGGGATTAAGGTTTGCGATTATTTATTAACTTAATTAATGGTTAATATTAGTTATTTTTAAATTTATTTGTGTAGTATCTTCACAGCGGAGCCAATACTGGAAAGGTTTTGGTTAAACTTTAAAGTGGTTATAGATTTATAAAAGTAATTTTGTATTCAAACAAAAATAATTAATAATTAAAATAATAAAAATCAAAAAGTTTTAACTAAAATAATCTCAATTTAGCAACTCTTAAATGTGATTAATAAACATTTATAAGTTGTTACTAATTCTGTATGATTAGTAGATATACTAATTATTGATTTTATAAATAAAATTATATTAATTATTGGGATTAAGCCGTGATTTATAATTAAAAAATAATTAATTTATTAACTGTAAAATTAAAAGTTATGAAAAAGTTTTTGGGAAAACTATTATTAAAATAGATGGCAATACGAGACAAGCATTGCTTCATTGAATACAAATTTGTTGATATTTATAACGATATAACAATGCAATGATTGAACAAAAATCGAATACAAATTGTATTAAATATAAGTGTAATGTTGTGCAGTGTTTGGCATTTCAGCGCTATTTTTCAGTGCATTTCATAATCGTTTCGTTGTTTTTATTGTCCAAAACAATACTACTGTTTGTCCCTTTCGGATGTGTTGTCCATCACTCGGTCTCAGCTCATGAGTGACGACATGACCACCAAAATGGATGTGTCAGAGGAGACAACACCCGCCGACACGACTCCGATGGCCACCGATGAGCACAACTCGACCGGTAAGACACATAACGCACACGTGATTTGCATTCATTCAATTGAACTCTTGTATTATCTCCTGATGTGACCGCAGAGGCCACTCAAGTGATGTCGAGAACTGTAGTGTTGGACACATTTCTCAACGGATTGATTGCCACCAAACAAGTGAAAGCCGCGAAGAAAGGCGTCAATTGTGTGACCAGATTCTTGGAAAATCGGGATCTGTTCTTTGAGATCAAAGACATTTACCACTATCTTTGTGTTGTCAACGAGACAGCCATCGATGAACAAACTATGCACACATTGGCCACAGATCTGAATGCCTTCTTCGAGAAGTTAATCGACGTCTGCTATCAATTGAAGTGTTTGGCCTCTCATTACGACAATGACTACCGATTTTATAATTGCATTCAACATCTCATCAAATGCTTGATCACTAAATTAGATGGTAATTGTGATGATAGTAATAATGTGGTCAATCAAACCATACCAACAATGTTGAGATCAATGATTGTGATCGTATCGACAATTCACGGCCTCCAGGAGGCGGTCGTTATTTCGGGAGCCATTACAACACAACTTGTCCTCAAACGGGCCGCTAATGGTTTGTGTGTGAATACCAATGAATGGAAAGGTCTTATCGCTTGTTTGACAAATGTGTCCAATATATGGAAGCGAGTCATTGATATCGACCAAACAGATCGCCAAAGTTTGGGCAATTTTGTGGTCTCTTTAGTGGACCTGTCATTAGGAGGCGACCCATTCCCCAGTCATATGGCGGCCAAAGCTGTCAAATGTCTTAGCCATGAGAAGAACATAGATATGTATCAATTGTTTATTGAATATCAAGTGGAGATCAGTACACATATTCTCCGTTTGCTTGACATTAATGATAATTTCGACAATTTGGGCGACACTCTCAAGAATACAATGTCTGTGTTTGGCATTCATATACTTCCGCGCGAACTCATCAAACATATTGTCCCGCATTTTGTCCACAAATGCAACCAAACGACCGATAAATTTGTCAGTGAAATCGCGCGCATCGACGACAAGGCTGTCTGCGATATCATCAAAATCTATTTGATTGATATCATTGAGTATCTCTTCTACTCCACCAACAGAATCGACAAATCGTTTGAAGAGATCCAAAGTCGAATCGATCTCTTGAAACTCATATTGGATTTCGATATAAAGCCCCGCATTTATGTCACTATCTATGAACTGATGCAGTCATCACTCATGCGTTTGTCTACCGATAGAGAGGCCACACTCGAGGCGATCGCATTTATTCAATACTATCGGACCAATCAAAGCGATTCCAACTATGATTTGCAGCGTTTCTTCGACAACGAGTCAGAGCTGAGGGCAGTATTGGTTGACTTCTTTCTGCCGTTTGTACACAAATTTGATTTAGTAATTCAGGACAATTCTGTGTCCACAATAGACAAACTCAAGTGCACACAGAGTTTCATTAGTCTAATGGCTATAATGGGAAAAAGCCATTTGAATACATATCGAGTGAAACTCTTTTCGACCATTAAATTAATATTAAGCGAAAGATTTCATACGAATAAACCGCAGATGAAGTTGAATATGGAAGTGTTGATGCAATACATTCAGATGATTGAGCCGTCGTATTTGGCCCACCAGTTGTTGACGATATCGGCGCTCACTTTACCACTCATACACCTCTGGCCGCAGGAGACGAAGAAAGTGTTTCGGGAACTCATTGTGCGAAACAAAACCAATGAGAACTTCAAGGAAGCTTTCAAACATTTGTATTTCATTCCGGACTGCAATGAACTGAAAGAAGTGACGGATGTTCTCAAGCAATACATCACATATAGAGATGCGGAGAAAGACATCTTTTTGAACATTACATTTGTTGTCAATAACATTAACCACGAGAACAATCGAGTCCAAGAGTTTTCGCTGCGGGAACTGTTGAAGCTATTGACGAAACACCAGTCGTTGATCTATAAGAAGTGCAATAAAGTGAAAGAATTAAGTGTCGATTACTTTGTCAACAAAATTGTCGCCAAATTAATGGTGTGTATGAAGTCTAACGATGAGAATGTGCTTCAATTGGTGGCCCAGTGTTTGGGCGTTTTGGGANGGGCGTTTTGGGAGCCATCGATCCGTTGAGAATCGATTTGGAAAAACCGATTATCTCTAAGGAAGAGAAGTTGGAAAAGTTTCTCAACGCAAACGATCACGAATTTAAGGTCATTTTGATCAGAAATTTGTACCGAGCGGTCACTACAGCCACCAAAACCGGTGATCAGAACTGCATTTCGTTCACATTGCAAGAGATTGTTAAAGATTTAAAGAGCGATGGCTTTAATTTGGACACTTTGCCCACAGAGCACAGGGATTATTGTCGTCTGTTGTGTAAAACCAAATACAAAACCGTCAAATCTATTCCCATCACAGACACAATGACGCGCCAGATATTTGGCTCCGACCCCGAGCTTCAGTATAACGTTTGGCTCAATCTATGGCTCCAAACACTGTTCCAGGCCTTCATCTTCAATCACGAACACGACTGCGAAAACAGTCAATACAACGAAAATCTGTCGCAGTTTTCTGGCCAATGCTCTCAACGCTCGGATCTCTTTGAGGCCGAATTGGCCAAAGCGTTGACCAGTAATTCAATCAAAATTAAATTACTGAACGTAACGTATTTGTCACTAATTCGCGACCAAAGTATGGCTCAATTTATGTTACCATATGTTGTGATCACTGCCTTAAAGAACGCAACTCTCGAGCAAAAGAACCATATTG